CCCTGGGACTCTGAAACAGAGATTGCTTCTCTGCTCCCTTCGCTGCACAACTAATTGAGCTCTGCACTGTATATGGGGCCGGGCCAGTGGGTAAATGCTCAGTGAAGTGTTTGTTTTGGAGTAGATGAGGTGAAGACTCCAAGCAATGTAAACTGAATGCTGAGCTTGTTCTGTTCTGGAGGATTTTGTTGTTGTTTTGTGTTAAGATTCCCTGCTGTGGTCTATATCGGCTCAGAAGCGTCTCCTTGCAGAAATATGTAAGGGAAGGGGCGCTTTAATTAACAATTGGATGTTGCAAGTCCAGCCCGTGTTTTACTGGAGATGAGGATGGCGGGGAGTAAGGGGGGACCAGTCCCCTGGCCTCACCCATTAGGGCTCAGCGTTTGGGGTGTGTCCCATGGGTTTTGGGTGCCGGGCGGTGTGGCCGGAGGAGCAAAGACCACCGTCTGTGTGCCATCCAGCTGTGCTGGTGGCCTCAGCCAGCTCAGGGGCTTGGGAATGCTCTGGATGTGCGGCACGGGCTCTGTTCGGTTGGTCCCCGTGTCAGCGGTGGCTCCAGTGGGCCCTGACCCAGTGAATTCACTGCATAAATGCCGCAGGGTGCGCCCGCTGCTTCTCTTGGAGCTTCCCGGGTAGAAATGTGGGAGCCCTCGGCAGGCGTCTCCCCGACGTTTGATAGAGCCAAACAGGGGCTGCACGTTCCCCTGGTTCTGAAATCGGCTCGGGAGCTGTGGGGTCGTTCTGGTAACGCTGTTACTTGCCGGTTTACCTGCATAGGTCCTGGAAATGTGCTTTTTAGCGCTCTGCACCCAGGTGGAGAGCCAGCATGGACAGCAGCATGCTCGTTGCGTTAGGGAATGCCAGGCAGCATTGTGAGAGTAAGCAGCTGGTTCGGCCGTGAGAGGAGCCTGTGTTGCGTGGTGCTTTCGGGCAGCTGTTGGTTTCTGTGGGAAGTGGAGTGGACGATGAAGCTGTCACGCTCACTAGAAAGACAGAAATAAAGTTTATTCTAGGGCTAAAACATTTCTTCCACACCTGGCATATCTAAACTGTTTCTTGCCTGATTTTGTGGTTTCGGGCATTGATATGAAAGTCAGCTGAGATTTAACCCTTACATTTGTAAACCATTGGTGTTTTCCTCCATTTTCTCCTTGTGTCTTGATTTCCCCTCGCTGGCAAACTGGAAAGGATGAGTGTGGGTTTCATTTAAGGGCTCTCCTGGCTGATCCCTGTGGGAAATGCTCTTCTCACCCATGGAGCTTTCAGCCCCATGGTCATGCCCTGACAGCAGTTCTGTTTCTCTTTGCAGCCTGCTTCGAGTAACAAGCCACGAAAGAAAAAAAAGAAAAGGAAAACCAAGAAAACTTCAGCCGGGGAGACTCTGGTATGTTTGCGTTTGCTCTGAGAGTTAGCGGCTCTGCTAATTTCTGCATGGGGGTTCACCAAGTGGCTACTCTGAGGTGGCTGCAGAAAAGATTTTGAGGCAAAAATGCTCCTTTTTCCATTGTGCTCACTTAAAATAGCAAAATGGCAACAGCAGCTTTTGACTGTGGTCCTTCAGGCGGCTAGGACTGGCACAGCTCTGCTGCAGATGCTTAGAGCTGAAATCCTCACAGCCGCATCTTCTTTCATCTCTGAGGCTTTGCACGGGAGGGGGTACTATGCGAGGGGTTTTGCATTTTCCTTACATTTTCCCTGCCCTACTTAGGTAGCTCTCCTGGCTCTGCAGAGCCTACAGAGCTCTTGCTGCCAGCCATCGTTACGTTCCCTTCTCCCCCATGCCCAGCCGTGCTCCTTCTCTGTAATTTGACATCTAACTGCTGAATGCTGGCAGGAGCAGCTGCCAAGTGCTGTTCCCTGGGACCTGCTCTGTCCCCTCCATGAAGAAGGGAGCAAGGGCACGGCGATTCAGCTCTCTGCCCCTAAGGAAGCGTGCTTGGAGTGAGAACTTTATCCAGTGTCTGTGTTAGTTGCAGATAAAAGTACAAAAGACGAACGTGTATGCTTGAATATGCTTTATCTACTTGAGCTAGGCTGGGAGACTAAACAGATTACAGTCACTGGTCTTTTAAATTCAATAGAAATAAAGCTCAAGTGGGAGCTAGTTTTCTGCTAAGCTTCAAGAGCCCTAACTATGCATTCAGGGGAGATCCTTTGCTAAATGTCATGAGCCACAGCGTGCTGAAGCACCAAACGGATGAGCCGTGACTCTGGTGTGGGTGCCCGGCTGGCCGCCTCCTCCCTGGGAACTCAGCTGGGCGACCTCGGAGTGAGTTCCTAAGGCAGAGAACCCATCAAAGAGCCCATTTCCTCTCCCAGTCCAGGAATAACGAGCAATCGGGTGACATCTGCCAGCTGTAGGCTCTAGGGAGACCTCATACCCAGAACCAGGCGGTTTGATTTGCCCACTAGAGATAATATGACCTTTGTTCAAGCACTTGAATGCAAAGCACTCTGTAAACTTTTCACATATCCACTCCACGCAGAGTGGCTATATTTAACTGGAAAAGGCAAGCTTGCAGTGCTATTTGGGTATAGTGAATGGAATTCCGTGTTCCACCCACGTACGTCGTGAGGAGGATGTGAAACAGCCGCCTAAGAAATGCGTCACTTGCTATTTGTGGGGGCAAATAGAGGGAAATCGGGATAGAAGTGTTATACAACTGTTGAGCGTGCGCTGCTGGGCATATTCTTTGGGTTGTTAGGAGGTGGGGAAAGAGAGAGTGCAATCCATGAGGGCTGGGTTAAAATCATGCGAATGTTTGATGACTTACTACAAAGGTCGCAGCACTGACTTCGTGTTTCTGTGGAAAACAGGCAGTAAAGGCTGATTGCTTAAATATTTGTCATTAAAAACAGTAGCCCAACGTTTCGTGATATTATAGGGATTGTAGTATAAATAAACAAGACAAAGGAGGGCGAAGGCTGGGTGGGAAGGTGCAGACCAGAGACCAGGCACACTCAGACTTGCGAGCTTTGTGTTAGGCTGGGAAAGACACCTGTGGCCAGCTCTTGCCCACGCGAGAGAGCTTCTGCTGGCATATTTGGACTCGTGGTGGTGTGAAGAGCGACTTCACACTGTCGATGCCTTGAGCCAGTGGAGAACAGCAGCCAAGCCCTTTTGGGGGTGGTTGGACTTGGAAGGCAGGCTGTGGGTGGGATTCCCAAGGGAATAAAGGTCGCTGGGTGCAGAGCAGGAGGCTCTGCAATGACGCAGGACACGTGCACCCGAGGTGGGTGATGGGGCTGCACTGGTATCACATGGAGATTGGGACGAGCCAAATGACCCGGCGGCAGCTGGGTGGGATGTTGGCTGGGTGAACTGCGTGCCGCTGTGACTCATTCTGTAATAACTGCCTTGTGTTTGCATGTGCCTATCTTAAGGAAGACAACGACCTGGAAGACATCGACAGCCTGCTGGAGAAGATTGAGGATACCAATGGGCTGTCACAGCAAACCCAGAGCGGAATAATCGCCGACAGCAGGCCTCTGCTCTACGTAGAGCACAGGTAGTGCTTGCTTCCTTCCCCATTTTGGCCTCGGGCATGAGAAGGATATCTGCTCCCACGAGGAATGGAGCTGGGAGCCTGCCAGTGTGACCTGTCTCTGAATTCCGGACCTTGCTTGAAAGGGGTTGTGGTAACTGTTGTGCGCAGCCCTGTTTCTAACCATTGCTCTTAGAGCTGCGCTTAGTTTTGAGCCGGTGACTGGTGTTCTTTGCTGTCACGCCTGGTTTGAGTGGGTGCCTGGACCAGATTAACCTCCAGAGGCACTGTCCAACCTAAAATACTGCATGACTGTAGGAGAAGCTCTGCAGAGCTGCTGAGAGCCCTGGTGCATAAAGCTTTGCAATCAAACTCGCCCGGCCCAGTGACCAGCTGCATTCAGGCCCCAGTACAGCATGCGCTGTCCTCTGAGGAGGGCTAAGCGGTGCCAGGAGCTAATTCCACCAGGAAAACTGGTTAGGCTTGTCTAACCTTTCCCACACGTCACCATCAACAAAGTGGACTAAGTGCCAAGCATGTGCAAGGGCTGAAGAACGAACCGG